CTTCATTATGTATGCTTTGATCTTTCAAAATACCCTCTTATGCTTTCCTCTTCTTATTTGAATGTTTTTGCTCAAACTGTTTCTAAGATTTAAGAAAAAAATCCTCTTTCAAACCTTTTGAATGATAAACTTATACTCCGGGGCATGATTTTGTCAAACTACCTTCGTGGATGATTTTGTTCTTCACTGCAATGCTACAAACTATTATTGCATGAAATATTGTTGAATGTATTTTTTGGGCTGATTTTACTACTACAATTTAAGTATTTGCAAAGATTATTAAAGATATTAATATGGTTTCAAGGTGGAGAGAAGTACCTGAAGGGCGGAGGCAAGACTGGAAAGTACCCAAGATGTACTTCGTATTTATACTGTGTTCTGGTGTAAGCAGATATTTTAAAAAAATTGGTGAATCAAGTTAATTATTCATAGTAATAATGATAAAAGATTTGCAAGATCTTCACTTTTTGTATTTAAATGATACATTTGGTGCAAAAAAAGAGATTTGTAAGATCGTCACTTTTACCATAGCAAAAAAGATTTGTAGAATCACCTTAATAAATGCTGATTTGAAATAAAGGGTAACTTACTTTATGGTGTGTGGCTCCATGCAACACACATACCCATAAAGTAGTAAGTTTACACTTACCCATAAAGTGTTCGTTTAAGCACATTAAATGCTTGGATTGTGCAAATCTAACCATTAAATTGATTAGATAGAAAGCATAAATGGAAAGCATTATTATTTCACTTTATGGAGCCACGCACAGCCGCCAACTGCAACCCAATAAAGTTGGTCTGCAGCCCCGTAAAATTGTCAGCCGCATGCCCAAGAGAGGATGACTAAATTCGGCCCAATATTAGCAGCTCAGCCCGGCCCAAAGGATGGAGGAGAAAATGGCGGGAACACTATTCATAAAAGGTCCTCCTACCATTGTATATAGGAGGATGAATCTAAAATATTTATACATTAACAATGTTGTAATAATGATAATATATACTTTTTTCATTGTTAGAGAGATTGAATAGATGCACAGATCAGAGATTTGAATTTACGCACTTTCTATAACACCCCCAACCTGCATAATCTGAATACTCGGATTAGCAAATCAGGTTGCAAAACACTTCAACTAAATACTTCAAAACATAATTCAACATTCAATTAGAGTAATAGTTAAAACAGTTACGAGCTAAAGTTATAATTCAAAACACAACTTGAAACTTATGTCCAAAAAGTAATAATTTAATTCAAATAATAAATAATAATTCAAAATCGTCAAACACTGCCATGCACATCACAACATCCTCATTGTCCTTCGGGATTAACTCTAAGATCCTCATTCCCTAGATTACCTACGTGCGGCAAAGGAACAAACGCTACACACTCAACATTGAAGCTAAGTGAGAAATATTTAACACACACTCATACCCATAGATGATCCCACTATCCCATATCATCATAGATATCATGCACACAACATGCACAACAACGTCATACAGTATACAAGATATAACATGCATAAACAACATCATAACAGTGCAAAAGATACAAACTACAATAATATAAATATTAGGTACTTTCCTTTTTAGGTTACTTTACTTCCTTTTTCGTACCAGGCTCTTAACCTATGCTAGGTTAAAGTTTAATTGAATTCGACTTGCCCATGGGAGTCATGACCTTCCTCTTCGGAACGAAGGTCAATCTCAAACTAACTCGGGAGTTCCTCGTTGGGTGGGTGAGATCCTATCCCCTTTAGAATGACAGTTCATAAATCCTCGTGCGGACGTTTTTACCCGAAGAGCCATTGAACCCAACAGCTATCACATGACTCTGACTTACTAACTTATAGCATACCTTGCTTGCCACTAATCCATTCGAGTCTGTCCCTAGAGCTCTTTTAGGTGATTTGTTCATTATTCATTAACAATTCATGATATAATGTTCATATACCAATCAAACATCAACAACATATTCAACATACTCAAACAGTGGCCTAACACTAGGTATTGACCCCCATGTTTACCGTCATGCAATACACAAAGTCTTAGAACCGATCCTTGATGCAAACATAAAATTTGGACCGGTCCAGGTACCTCACGGTACCCTTAACGGTAGGGAGTACCGACCCTATAGTACCAGGGTACCATCCCACGGTACGTGGGTACCAACCGTGTAAGCTGTAACTCCCATCCGGTAGGCCTGTCATGGCAGCCTCTACCGACCTGGCGGTAGGGCCTACTGTCCGCTCGGTACCTAGGTACCGTTTGGTGACAGGTACCGACAGAGCGAAGGAAAAAACAAGGCAGGTGGATGTAGTTAGGTATTGTGCCAACGGTACCGACCTACCGTCTGTCACGGAGAAATCCAAGTCTGCACCAGCTCCGTTTTTCCACATCAAACCAACACCAAACTCGAAATAACAAGCATCAAAAGGTTCTAAATTTATATTCAAACATTATCTAACATGCTCTTAAACTTATCTAAACCAATCCATGTTTTCCAAATCACAATCAACATAAACAAGGCATAATTCACGTATGGTTCACATAGTTTAATAGTAACGACTCTACGAACGTATGATTCAAACATATGACTTTAACTATATGTTAGATGTCCACGTACTCACCTTAAATTCGACGAATATATTCTAACAACAATACCACGGATACGAGAACGTGACAGCGAACTCTTCTTCTTCCTCTTTCTTTTCTCCTTCTTCCCTCTTTTCTTTTTCTCCTGCTTCTCCATCGTTGCTGTGCTGGTTCTTTGCTGCTATTTCCGATCGACAAGAGAGAACCGAAAGAATGAGGGAGTAAGTTACGCAATATGTGTGGCGTAAAAAGGATTTAGGTATGTAAAGAGGTTTATTTATAGGTTTGGGGTTTTGGGCTCCATATTAATTTAACGTGCCTGGTCCAAAATGCACTTTTCGGGCCCACGAGCTCCAAATCAGAATTCGTTTGCACTATTGGATTCGTTCCGTCGAATCTTACACAACAATATAAACTTTTTTATCAAGCGAAGAATATTTCATAATTTCACCGAGTCCGTGTCAGTAATTAATTAACTTTTTTTAATTAATTAATTCTGATAGGCTGAGTTTTGGGGCATTACACTTTCAAAAAAAATTTGAAAGAAGACAGTGTTTATTTGCTGATAAGAATCAAAGTACTACCGATGAGAGTCTAAGAATAAAGAATTCTTTGTATCATTCAAAAATGAACTTAATTTAGTAACGTAAATATGGTCCGTGCAACGCATGAGTGTGATACTAGTAATATATTGATTCTCTAAATTATCATAGGGCTTTTTTTGGTACCCGAAGTTGTGGTAGAATTTCAATGAATGCAATTGAGTTTTAAATCATGTTTAAATCCATTTTAATTCGGACTGGATATACCTCTGATAAAGAGTTCAATCATATTGGTTGGTCCGGTCGAGTTTTCTAAATATGTGGTTTTCTGCTCCCTCTGTATCATGTTGCATTTAATTTTGATTTTTGTGGTTAACATATTTAAATTTTGACTATAAATTATAAAAAAGTACATTAAACTGTGATATAAATTTTATTATCAAAGATTTGGAAGGAAGAAGTGCAAAGTCCTTAATCCAAAGAAGTGCACATTTGGCATCCACTGTAGGAAGTTATGTAGGCACATAGTGAGTAGGCGAAGCATCGAGTCCAATTTAGAGAAGAATTGTGCCATTTTAGACATGGTACCACCTCAGATGGTCAAGAATCTAATTCATTGTTGAATTTTGTGTGGAAATTAATAATATGTGGATTGTTGGTGTTTTAGTATGATGTTTAAGTATACGTCTTGATGAATGAAGATATTTTCATGTACAACTTAGTGACAAACAATATAATCTATAATGAATTATCAAGGGTGCCACGCATGCTAAGACAAGCAAATAAGTGCTCAAGAATTCATATACTTCTTCAATCTAGTAAAGAAGAAGAAATTACCTTAAATAGAAGGAAAACATAAAGAAAATGCTAAAATATGAGTTTCATGTTTTTATCTCATAAATAAGAGTACATATTTGTTTGTTAATGTGACACTGTACATGTAAGTTATACTATACTTTTTAGTAATATACACGATCATGATTGGTAATGTAAATGCATTTTAAATTTTTTTTGGAAATAAAAATATGAAACTCCTATTTTGGTAGATTTTCAATATTTTAATCTTAATTTAATATTTTTCCAAAAAAGAAAGATTTTTCAGCACTGTGCTGCTACCATCTTCCTAACTGCTATTCTGCTAACCTTCAACCCCATTAAAACGCTCTCAAATCCTTCCCCAAAAAAGACCATTCTTTGATCATCAGAAAGCTCCAGAAAATCTCGAACATTTCCATGGATCCCAACTCATCTCCTTCAAAGACCATACCGATCGTATCCACATTAGCTTCTCCCTTCGAGAGCCCACCGAAGGCAGATGGGTCCAACAAGAGAAAGCACCTGAGCTTGTGGCCTGGGATGTACCATTCTCCAGTGACCAATGCTCTGTGGGAAGCGAGGTCTAAGATCTTCGAGAGACTTCTGGACCCGCCTCTGGATGCGCCCCCTCAGAGTGAATTGCTCACGAGAACCCCTTCCCAGAGCCGAACCACCATACTGTACAACTTCTCCACCGATTACATCCTGAGAGAGCAGTATAGGGATCCTTGGAATGAGGTCCGGATTGGGAAACTCCTCGAGGATCTTGATGCCCTTGCTGGAACCATTTCTGTCAAAGTAAGATTCTCCCTTCGAATCGGGTTTCGATCTTAATTTCGTCGCATTTTTTTCTGTTTGAATGTTTGTTCTTTGAAGATTCTTGCAATTTGTGTTCGGAATTCTTCTGTTACTTGTGTTATCATTCTGAAACTACTATGAATTTTGCTGGGTAGAAAAAGGTTTTGGGTGTAGGGTTTATGATCGGGCTGTTTGTTTTGGTGTGAACCCAGCATTGTTCGGATGAAGATAGCACGACCCGACCGTTGTATCTGGTCACAGCTTCAGTTGATAAGATGGTGATTAAGAAGCCGATCAGTGTTGACATTGATCTGAAAATGGTTGGTGCCGTCATCTGGGTTGGCCACTCTTCTATTGAGATTCAATTAGATGTCATTCAACCAAGCAATGGTACTTCTTTTAAACTCAGACTCATCTTGTAATATTTCTTCTTATGAGGAGAATTCTTGTGTTTTGATCTAGAGAATATGGCTTGCAGGGAGAACTGGTCCTCCTGAACCAGCACTGACAGCAAACTTCATTTTTGTTGCGCGGGACTATAAGACTAAGAAAGCTGCTCCAGTGAATCGCCTGTCTCCGGAGACAGATGAAGAAAAGAATCTCTACGAAGCAGCAGAGAGGAGAAATAGACTTAGGAAGAGGAAAATAGTGGGAGACAAGAGGGAGGTTGAAAATGGGGGAGAGAACAGACTTGAATCACTATTAGCCGAAGGTCGAATTCTCTGCGACATGCCTGCTTTGGCTGATAGGAACAGCATTCTTCTAAGAGACACAAGGCTTGAGAACTCTTTGATTTGCCAGCCTCAGCAAAGAAACATACACGGCCGGATCTTTGGAGGGTTTCTGATGCACCGGGCATTTGAATTGGCATTTTCAACCGCGTATGCTTTTGCTGGCATGATGCCATACTTTATGGAAGTCGATCATGTTGATTTCCTAAGACCCGTGAGTTCATTTTTGTAGCATTTTTATTCTGTTTAATTCATTCGCTTCGATGCATTTTTGTGTTATGAGGTCACCTTTTCTTTGTTGCAGGTGGATGTTGGAGACTTCTTGCGATTCAAATCATGTGTTCTCTACACTGAGTACGAGCATACAGATCAGCCACTGATTAATGTTGAAGTTGTTGCCCATGTCACTAGGCCAGAACTCAGATCTAGTGAGGTACTTGCTACTTAAAACTTACTCAGAGATGAGTTTCTAGAGATAAATAGCGTTAAACTAAATTAATTTCATGCCACCGGTGTCAACTAGTTGGGATTCAAGTGGTGACAATGGTGTTATCTTAGAGAAATGATTGTGTTGCGCAGGTGTCGAATAAGTTCTACTTCACATTCACTGTACGCCCGGAGGCTAAGGCTCAGAACAATAAGTTTATGATCCGGAAGGTAGTCCCTGCCACAGAGGAGGAGGCACGGGTCATCCTGGAACGCGTAGATGCAGATTTGTTGCACAAGTAATATCTGATTTCGAACAAGGCAGTTGGATATAACTTAATTGTTGCTTTCAATCACTCCATGTCCTGATTCAACTATTTCGATCATAGTATCATAGTACAATCGGTGGAGGATATTTTGTTTACCTGTATTTTTTCCTTATAATTGATTCTGTGTCAATTCGTGAGGACACACCATTTGTGGAAATGCACAGACATCATTTAGTCTTGGTGTACAAATGAGACACACCATTTAGTGTACCCCTGAAATTATAATTGCACCTTTCACATCTTAATCAATGGCACCAAATTTGTCACTTTTCACCACAAAAGATGGCAATTATTGACATATATTCACAAGAAACAAAAATGACAAACAGTTCTCCCCAAAATGCTGCTGTTTTCATTCTTCTGCAAATAAAATCAGCTAGGTATACATCTATAACCCACCAGATGCCAAAATCATTTATTACATTATATGCTCTCTGAGAAAAAAAATGTACATATTGTACCTATAAAATTGGTACCCACAATCTCAAGGCAAGCTCTCATTAGTTTGCTGGCCCAGGATTTTGTGTTCATCTAGACTTATGGCCGCTGCAGCATGGGATTGACTGGAACTGGAAATTGCATGGGATTGACTGGAACTGGAAATTTGTGAGCAGAAGAAACTATTGTTTGCTCGTTTATGGTTCCGACTTCTTTACACACACGCTCAAGAACAACAAGGAAGTCTCTCACCACCATGAAAATCCTTAACGGGTGAGCTTCTTCTTTAGCTGAATTCCCATGGAAGTATTCAGTTATCTCCTTCACCAGAGACATGGCTACACTCTCTAAGGCTTGGAGCTTCAAAATCTCTCCCTCGGCCATTTCTGTGAACCTCTTCATTGATTGGGAGAACTTTTGGCTGTTACTTTCGTTCAACCGGACAAACTCTTTGATGTTTGCAATCCCTTGAGATAGCTTAAAGACCTCACTATGGAGGACCTCTGCATCCATGGCAGCAGCATTCTTCACATTTGTTAGCTCTGATGAACAGAGACTGGAAACAACCTGGAGGCCAATCTTCCTGCACTTTGCATCGTCATCACTGCCAATACTTGATTGGTTTGTAGTAGACAGACGAGTGCCTTCACTTCTTATGATCTCTTGAACAACGAAATGCAAGAGGGTCGTTTTCCCATCCGCACCCTTGACATCTACTAACTTCAGGAGGGTATCAAGTTTGAAGGCACGCGCATCTCCACGGTTTGTCCCCACGTTCATCCGGTTCCCAGTTTTCAAAACAGCTTCCAGAAGCTTCAAGAACATCCTGCTGCTTCTTAACTCTTCACATGCAGCCTGGCAATCAGCAAACAACAATAAGATGATTTCAAATAAGCCATACTAATGATAAACAAAAGTTAAAAGTTAAAAGTTAAATCCAACTCAGTCTCTTGATTATGCAACTATTAATCAATTGGACCTAAAAAATCCATTGAACACAATTTGGTCCTTGAGTATGAAATTTTGAAAGCACTCTATCCTTCCACGAATTTGGTTCTAAACAAGACGGGTCTTTTTGTCCTTTCACTTGATTTAGACCGAATTTCAGTCTCAAACCGGCCCTCAACCATGTAATTTAGGTCTAATCCTAAGCATGCAAAAATACCTTCCTTAATTATAGTGAAATATACGCATGGGGACTCAATCGCATATTCATTGACCAAATTGAGTAATAATGTATAGTCGAGGGACTAACTCGAGGGTATTAACTCTAAAAATAGCTGCTAACTTATCCAGAAAGTACCCACCTCAAGTGTTTGGAATGACGTCTGGAGGTATTCGATTTCAGATTCGAAATTGGATACATACAGCATTGCATCCACTCTTTTGAATGCAAAAGGTATATCAAGAACTGTCTTCAGAAATTTTTCTGCTGGTCCAAGCTTGAATGGTGAATCGTCTTTATATGCTTTAAGCTTGCGCTCCTCTTCTTTAGATGGAGCCATCTTCATCAAGCTCTCTAGAAGCTCAGTACCAAGGGAATCTGCATTTCCTGAAAAATAAAATGCATAACTTCAGCCTCAAATTTAGACAAATTCTTCATGCACAAACAATTTTACAATCGCAGCAAGGAAGTTCTATGGTGATGAACGGATTTCACCTATTTTAATCCAATATAAATCGATAAAAAAAATACGGTGAACAAGATGCAACGTCTTCTACACTTGTATCCAAACAAAAACAGATGTCAACGTCATCTCATCTGCTTTTCCTAAAGAATTTTAAATCACAATGGAATACTACTGGAGAGTTCAATATATTGGAAACATGGCAGATGAAGGTAAACTCTAGCACTATGTTTGATTCAAGGAATTTGAAAGGGAAAAAAATGAAAATGAGATGGAAAACTATTTTTCTTGTTTGGTTAGAGAGGAAAAGAAAATAAAATTGGAAGGAAAAGAAAATAAGAAGGAAAGAATTCATTAAGAGGAGGGAAAACCAAATTCCTCCCATTTTGGTGAGGAAAGTGAGAGAAAATCAGTTTCATTTATTTTCCTTCCAAATTTGTTGAACCAAACATAGTGTAAAAGTAATGTAGAAAATGGAAAGGAAACAAAGATGCTACTATCATAAACGCTATTACAGTTCAACTGCAGTCTTCATTAATTCTGATGTAAATGAAAAATAACGAAATTACTACACAAGTTGAGTATAGACTTCAATCTCCTGGTGCAGTTTCACAGTCATAAACAGTACGTATTGAATTTCATTTGGAATACAGAAAACACGTTAAATATACCTTCTAAAAGAGCATCACATACTTCCTCAGTGGTGACATTTAGGGCCCTAAGCAAAATTGCAATATTCTGTGATTTCTTGGGATCAAGCACTCTATTCTCTTGGCTCTGTGAGGGAAGCGTCGAGTGCCTGACAATTTCTTTTTTAATACTATTCGGTGTATTTACAACAAACAATGTCTCAATCCTCTCTTCATTCAACCTGAAAAGGATCCAACTCAGTATTTACAGTTTTTAAAATGAAAAAAAGACACATAATTACTAAAACAAACTAGTAGCAAAGTGCTTCAAGTATCATACTTAAATGAGCTCGACTTGATCTGATCCCAAACCATTTCACGATCAGAACTTGCTCTGACTTTATCCCAATGCAATGGCTTCAATTTTGGTTTTGGCGCCTCACCATTTTCCACAGGTGAACCATTTTCATGGATATCTGAATTCCTGTTGACAGGCTCTTCTGAATGCGAAGGAAACTGAATTGGAGAAATCAATGTTGGACTATCTATAGAAATGGGCCTTACAAGATTCACCAAGTCAGGAGGTTCAGATACTATTATTTTAGGTTTAGGGTTGGGAGTTGTTGGACTCTCCCAGTGTTTGCTTGGCGGAGGAGGTGGAGGAGTAGGTGGCTGAGAAGGAATACTAATGGGAGGTGCTGGAGGTGGTCGTGGTGGAGCCAACTTTGGGACATTCTGATTTACAGGGCAACTGATAATCTTGGAAGACTCCATATCAGAACGGTCATGAGAATTCATGCATAGTGAAGATTCTTTTGCAGGGACAGGGATGTTAATTCGTGGATGAGAATCAAGGATATTGCTGCTGATTCTAGCAGGAGACTCCATGCCTGCTTCAGCAGTTGTCATAGGAGGGTCAAGACTAGAACTACTATTTCTCATGGGAAACTCCATATTATGTGGTATGCAGGTTCTCGATGGAGATTCCATATCGGTACTACTTATTCTCTGTGGAGATGGAGAATCTACTAAAGGGTTGTTGATTCTTGGAAGAGAACCAAAGATATGGCCACTTGATCTCGCCTGAGACTCCATTACTGGACTGCTTGTTCTCCCAGGAGACTCCATTACTGGACTGCTTGTTCTCACAGGACTCTCCCTACCTGGCCTATTGTTTCTGGCTGGAGATTGGTTAACATGGTCATTTCTAGGAAGAGACTCCAATTCTAAACTGCTTCCCTTTGCTGGAGAACCAATAGCAACAGGGCTTCTGATTCTTATGGGAGATTCAACTAATGGGCTGCTGATTCTCACAGGAGAATTCAGAATTGGGGAATCTATAAACTGATCCCAAATGTGAGAAACCCTGGGAGAAGATGAACACGAACTTCTTGAATCTCCCTCTGGGGAAGATGAACCCGCAGGAGAGGTTGATTGAGATTCTCTCTCAATCACAGGCCGTGGCACAGAGATCGGCGGCCGAGGAGGTGGATGCTGAGGTGGTGGCGGGAGGGCTGTTTGTCCAGAAACCAATTCAGGCAAATTGGAATTCGAGCTTTTCGGGCTGGAACTCGCAGGTGGCGAAATGCTCAAAGATACAGACCTCTGGGGAGAGCAGGAACCCGAACTTGATGAAGAGGAAGATGAATAGTGGGCGCCGCCAAAATTTTGAACCTCTATGGCGGCGAAAGCCCTTCTAGAAGCAGATCCAGTTCCGATTGAGCTCTCTCTACCGCCCAGCGACCCTCTAGGAGAGTAGAATTCTTCATCCTCTCCATCCCTGAACGACTCCGCATCAGTATTTTGTCTGAAATTCCGCCCAAGAACAAAAGGCGGCAACGGTTGAAGCTCCGGCGAGTCAATTTTTCTCGACGACGCGGCGCTAGTGTTCGTGCTGCTCCGTGAGTACTGCTGGCTGTGCGATTCGATGGCTCCCCTGGAATTGACCATAGTGCCAAGGTACAGATACTCTGAACTAGGTTTAGATGGCCTCCCAAGCTTCGGGATGACGGGATCACCACCGTCATTATTCCCGTAATCGAATGGAGTACTGGTGACGGATCTCTCGGGTTTGGACTCACTGGAAGAACGCTTCCTTATCTTCCGCAGATGCAAGGTAACGGCGACGGATACCAATATCACGGCGGCGACAACGCAAGCGACGGCGGAGGCAACGAGCTTCGAGGTAGTCTTGGGTTTCGAGGCCTGCGTGACATTAAAAGAAGAGATGTTTGCCGGAATGGAAGAGAATAACGCCGGCGGCGGAGGGGGCGAGAGGGTTTCCGGAAAGAAAGGCGTAGTGTTATGAGTAGAAGGGGAAAACGGATAATCCGGAGCACCGTCGGCCGCCGGAGGCGGGGGAAGAGGTGAAGGCGAAGGAAGCGAAGGAGGGAGCGAATCTATCGGGACAAACGGTTGGTGAAGAATGCGGCGATTATGGGAGGAGACGACGGAAGCAGAGAAGAAGAGGACGGGAAGAAGAAACAGATAATAAGCGGTGGAGGGCATTGTGGCGCCGCCTCCGCCGCTGCCGCCGTGTACGGTGGATATCTAGATGGGTGCTAATGATTGTGGAGCGAAAAGCTGAAAATCGGATTCAGAGAAATAATGGAGATCTGTTTCTTATAAGTTTCAGGAGAGGGGTGGAGAAAGTGAGTGGAAAAGGCATTGCAGAGCAGAGAGAAAGAGAGATAGAGAGAAGAGAGGAGCACAGAATTCAGTGTCATAATTGCTAGTGGTGGCTGCTAATACGGAGTTCTCCGTAAAATAAGTGCAGGCAGTGCGTAGAGAATCTAGGTATAATGGTAATATTATTGCCTACATTGCTCCAACGGGCCACCACCTCCCACGAATGACTATGATGATAGATCAACTTCACACTCATCTTTTTATACGGAGTATCTTTTCTGTTTCAAAAAAATTAGATTAAATTCTATAAAAGATCTCCAATTATAGGTTGTTTTACATATTGAGTCCCTACATATCGAATATTACTAATTTAATCCCCAATTATTATATCATTTTTCACGAATGGTCCTTTGTTAACGATTTTGTTAAGAACATGGATAAAATCATATATTCATATTTCTCTCTCCTCAATTAAGCTTCCTCCCTCCTCTCGTACACTTTCCTAAACTCGCCGCTGAGTTTGAAGCTCTAAATCCAAAACTGAAATGATCATTTATCTCTCAATTATTAGTCTTCCTGGTGGAATCTAAAATCAAAACCAATAAGCTTTATGGATGAGCTTTATCAGTTAGTCTCAAGAAATTGGAAAGAAAATAAACATTAAAACTCATCCATGAAGGTTACTGGCTTCGAATTTGGGTTCCACCAGTTAGACAAACAATTGAGAGAAGAGTGATGATTTCGGTTTTGAGTTCAAAGATTTAAACTCAGCGACGAGTTTGGGAAAGGAGCGCGAGGGGAGGGAGGAAGCTTAATCGAGGAGAGAAAGGAGTGTGAATTTACAATTTTATCTACATTCTTAACGGAAATGTTAACAAAGAACCATTCGTGGAAATGAATATAATAATTGGGGACTAAATTAGTAATATTTGATATGCAGGGACTAAATATGTAAAACGACTTATAATTGGGAACCTTTTATGGAATTTACTCAAAAAATTATTACATTTTAAGTTTTTGTTAGAGCACTGGGTATGGGTGTAACGCCCACCGACGTGATGGGGCTTTTAACGCCCCGGGGGCGTTAAACACCGCCCCCGGCGGCGTTAACGGGGGGTCACTAGCCCTGCGTCAAACGAATGACGCTGCGTCATTTCCCTCCCCCTCCCCCCTTAACGGCTCTAATAGCCGTTGGACACCAAAAAAAAGAAATTTTTTTTTCTTATAAATTCAAACCCCCCTCCCAATCTCTCACACCTTCTTCATCTTCAATCTTCTTCTTCCCAAATTTTAAATTTCGAAATCACCCCCTCTCTTTTCAACATGAATCCTTCCGGCTCCGGCTTCTTTCTTGACAATCTCCCGCCAAGCGACGCCGCGATGTGGTATTACCTAGAGTGGGGCGATCAACCGCCGATCTACGAGACGCAACAATCGGGGTACGTCGAGCGAGATTCGGTTCCGGAGACTCAACTGGAACCGACTGGGTCGAAAAAAAGTACACGCCGGAAAAGCCACAAAGCAAAAGGCAAGATGACCGAGGCGGCACGGTCAATCCAAAGCTGGACGCCGGAGGAGGAGTGCTTATTGGCGTCGGCTTGGGTTGACGTCTCCGAGCATCCTATCATTGGTAAAAATTATATTTTTTCTAATATATTTATGTTTTTATTTATATAAAATTATATTTAATCGTGTCATAAAAAAAATTTGTGCTATACTTTTTTAAAGGTTCGGAGCAAACGAAGGATGCAATGTGGGATCGTATCGAGGAGAAGTTCTTCACGGCGATGAACAAGGACGGCTCCTACCGTACCCGGGACCAACTCACTTCCAAATGGAGCCACATCAACCGTAAAGTCCGAAAGTTTATCGGAGTTTACGAGGAATGCTCCCGGTCCCGGAGGAGCGGGACGAACGACGGCGATGTTCTCCGGCTTGCCACGGCCCGGTATCAAGATGACGGGCACCAAGGCAAGGTGCCCATCGATCTTGGGAGGATTTTGAGCCGTTCCCCGTAGTGGCAACAACTCAACAATCCCGACGGCGGATCGTTCTAGAAAAGATCCTTCGTCGACGCCAAGGTTGAGATCGACGAGACTATCGATTCGTCCGATCAAATCCCTCCCTTCAACGTTGCGGATTCCGATGACGAGGACCCCATTCCACGGCCGATCGGAAGAAAGAATGCAAAATCCATTGCCTCGGGTTTGGGAGGGTCCGGCTCTGTTTTCGTTTCTTCTCGTGACGAAATCGGCTGGGAAATGGTTGAACAACATCGGGTGTTCAATCTCCGAGAACAATAGAGGTTGAAGCTAAAGGAGAAGGAGTTGAAGCTAAAGGAGCAGGAGGGCGAGATGAAAGTCATGGAAACCGACATTTCTACGTTGTCGGGTTTCAGACGAATGATCTACGAGCAAAGAATAAGAGAGATCAAGGAGAAATATAATTTACCTTAGTTTTTTTTATTATTGTATCTTTTTTTTATTATTGTCGCTTTTTTATTTAATGAATGTATTTTTTTATTATTCATGTTTCAATATAATTAAATAATAAATTCATTACATTTTATTGATTTAATTTTAGAAGATGTATATTTAAAATGTAAAAAATGAAGGTTTGAAGCCCCAGTTTGAAGCCCTGGGGCTTAAAACCCATTTCCAGTGAATTTTGGGTGTAAGTTAAAGCTGACATGGCAGAGAGAGAAAGTTTGAAGCCCCGGGGCTTCAAACGTATTTCCAGTGCCCTTAAGTTAATGTAAGTCTCATAAAATTATATTTATTTTAAAACATAGTTTTGATATGTCAAATTTTTTATTACATTTAGTTATTTCAAATTATACTCCCTCCGTCCTATAATAATCTTTCCAGAGCACTATTTCAACTTCACGGGAATTTATATTTATTTGTGTTTTTTCATGGCCTATATGATAAAATAAAATATTCTTGTCACCACTTGTTTTGTTGAACTTTTGGTGTAGTTTTTAAATATGTATGTTTTATTTTTTATTTCTATACCAATATTTAAATAAAATAGATTGAAAAAACTTGAGATTTTTCTTCGTTTTGCGAACTGGGAAGATCATTATAGGACGGAGGGAGTATTTAATTTGTAATCAAAGTTTTGCACAGTGTGACAAAAAAAACAAACTGTGGAAACTTTTCGGGACGAAGAATGTGAATTTTTCTACTTCCAATATTATCATATTAGTTCCCCCCCCAATGCACTGTCTTTTTTTCACATTTTGTTCGTTTGATATGAGGTACTTCATACTTGTCACTCACGGACTCTAGGCTCATTAGCATCAGGCCTTAAGAAAAAAGGTTTCAAGCTCGGCTATCATGAGCACACTGAGGGTCATGCTCGGCTATAACTTATAAGCACAACATGGGCATGCTCGGCTATCACCACACCAGAGAGATTGTCATGGTCGACCATTTGACGACGAGCTCAACACCAATCAGCTCCCGTGCTCGGATCATGTCAAAGGACATCTCAGGCCCCACCCCGTGCTCAACCCCTCAGGAACAACAAACCGACCCCTTCCATGACAACAATCCTCGAGTCTGATGAGAAAGAGAAGTGTCATAGCATAAACTGGATGTAATTAATGAACCCATGTGTTGTAGCCTAAATTAGTTGAGCTCCAACCTATTACTTCTATTGTATAAATACACCTCCCCATTCAACATGGGCTTGGGGTAGGAGGCCCAAGAGCAAGTTTGAGTATTGGCATAGAAGGAGGTTCAAGGTCGTTCCACGTTGAGGGACGAGCACCCGGATTCAGTTGAAGCTTTTCCGGACTGCTAATGATGAAAAGGGCACCATGTGACTGATTGAACATGTAACATCCTGAAAACCAGTCTAGTAGTTTATTGTTATTTTTAAAATAAATAAATATTATATATTTACGAAAGTAACTCTCTTAAAGGATTAAAAGTTACTGTGAGTATTTTAATCATCCGTATGCGATTTGAATCATATGATGGGTTTATTTTATAAAAATAAAGATTGTATCTAATCAAGAGAATTTATTAATGACTGAGATAGACAGAAGGTGGGAAAATATAAAGTTATAAGTGTTGACTTTTTAATACTCTCTCCGTCCCCCTGTATTTGTCCACATTTGACTTTTGGAACTGTTCATCTAAGCACTTTGACTCATCAAATTCTCTCAATGTGTAAGCCTAAATATAGTCATGTGTGATCTTGTTTGATTTGTCTTAACATATAGATTATTAATATATAATTTTTATAATTTTTTAATATACAAATTACAAGATAAAATGGATTAAAGAAGTGCATTGGATGGTGTGTAAAAATGAAAGTGGACAAATACAGGGGGAGGGAGGGAGTAAGTCATTATGCAAGTTTGGCAATCTGAACCCGGAAGCGCAAACAAAACTTAATTCATAGGCATTAGGCGAAAAGTATAAATTTACTCTTTCTCTGTCCTAAAAATATGAGTAAGTCATCATGTCAAAATTAGATCCCGAAAAATTAGAAAAATGGAAAATCTAAAAAAAATTTGAAAATTTATTTTAGTTTATTTTTATATTATTCTCATTCGAATTCTTGTCGTTATAATATTTATTAGTATTATTATTATTATTATTATTATTATTATTATTATTATTATCATCATCACTTTATCTTAACGAATGTCTTTAAGATAAAAAAATATTGATATTTTTCATACAAAAAAATGACTTTTGCAAAAAAAAAATTTAACTAGAACACAAAGTTAGCATAAATATCAAAATATTAAAATTTAAAAGGTTATTGTGGTTACATTGCACCTCAATTTATTTATGCAGTATTTATTAAAAAATATATTCGTAATTATACTTTATACATTACAAATTTTTATTTTAAATACTAGACATGTCACATAATGTAATCAAACATGTTTTTCTTTAATGATTGTTATTTTATTTTCATTGTAACTCCTATTTTTTGAATAAATACATTGCAGTCTTATTTTTGTACATTTTTTATGTTTTACGTATTGCTACTTTAGTCTTTTTCTCTAAACTATTTTGACTTTCAAATTTTTTTATAAAATTTGATCATGTAGATTAATATAAAAAAAGTTATATTATTCATATTAAAAAGTTGAAGAAAAAATAATAATGAGTATGAATCATAAACATAGTGACATGAAAAAATGAAATAATATATAAATTATAATTATGAACATAATAGTTGTAATAATTGTAATAATAATAATAATACATCATTTTTAGAGTAATTGCTTGGGGGAATAGAAAGAGTTTGAAGAAAATAAGAATAGTTAGAAAAAAAACTAGAAGGAACTAGAGGAAACTAAAGAAACTAGAAAGAATTGAAAGTTACCCCGTAGTAAGAGTTTAAAATCTAAAAAAGAGGGTGTTAGTAAAATAGAAATAGTCTAATCCTTGGCAATGAGGTTGTGTTTAACATTAGCAGGTGGAGTGTTTGTTCATTGTCTTTGAACCAAAAGAAAATATAAAATATTGATTCTATATGAGAAGAAAAGGACTGATATGAACCATTGAATTAGCAAATCAAAAGCTTCCAAACAAATTTTAGACCAGCCTATATCGTTAGTGGGGCCTGGAAAGATAGCTTAAGACTTTTGGTGTAGAATGTAGGGCATATAGTGTGGCCTTAATTTTTGTGATGATAACTGGGGATTTTGATTTTCGAAAATGTCCATTCAGCTTATCTTTTCTGTAAGATTTTTCCCTTTAAAAATCATCAAAGCTTCATACATTTGTCCATCTGCACAAATAGTTTTCATGATCATTGACTACAATCCAAGAGGTCTAGTTCAAAAGAGGAAAATTCTTAAGATGTCATTATGGACTTTAGTATATTAATATCGTTAAAGGTTTGACTTTTTCCAAATAAAGGAAAAAAACCACTTGTCAGTCCATGAAATATGTAAGAAAATTCATATTTTAGATATAGACTTTAGGACTAAGGAACAACACTTTTTCAAAAAAATACAAATTATTTATAAAATTAAATTGAAAAAACTAAATTCAGTCAAGTATCATCATTAAAAAAAGACTAGAATTGGAAGGGAGGAAGCATGATTGTATGAAGTCGTCCTCTATAACTTTGACCTTCAAGACACAAAGTTAATACTGAAAACTAGGTCATTATCAAATTCACTTTTACTACTCCCTTCGTCCTATAATGTTTTTCCTATTTCTGTTTACGAGGTTTGACCAACTTTATTTTCAATTCAATTTATTTGATAGTAGGTGTAAAATTTAAAAATAATATATATATATATATATATATATATATATATTGAAGAAATTTTTATATATTAATTAAGACGAATCGAGATACAAGTTTTGTCACATGTAATTGCTCCCCTAACATTTTTGGGAAGAGAAGTGAATGATAAATAGTCGGAAAACCGATTGTTTTTGAGTGCATATTTTGCCAGATTATGTGCCGCTGTGTTTTCTTCTCTGTATATGTGGCTGGCATTCCCATGTTTTGCTTGTAGAATTGTCTTTATGTTGAAGCTGACTGTATCTTCTCTATTTGTCGCATTAATTCTATTTATTGCATTTTTGGAGTCCATGCAGAGATTTATTTGTCCATGAAGAATTTTTGTGGCCCATTGTAGGCCCAATAATCCAGCTTCCAGTTCTCCTTCTTCTGCGTTGGTCTTCTGTTGAAGCATCCTTGCCATACCTCCAATGAAGTCTCCGTTGGTTGTTCGTAGGATTGCACTGCCCACCATTATTCCATTGCCTACTGCCACATCCGTGTTCACTGTGGTGTTAGTAGCTTGCCATTTGAAGATTTGAACGGCTGGTGTATGTGCAATTGGATATTCAAAGGTTAGAGAAAATTTCCCTTTTCCTTTTCCAATAGTCCACTCGATTAGTTTGTTCCAAATAATCTGAATGATCTGAGTTGTTGTTTTTGATTCTTCTTGATGCTTTCTGCGATTT